GAGTTCCTCGCCTTCGCAGAGCGCGACGGCGCCGCGCAGCGGCTGCAGGAGTGGGTCGCGTGGCACCGCCTCCGGCCCGCGCCTCCTCGTGCGCCGTCCGACTTTTTGCACGCCACACGCGCGGGCGAGGGGCGAGCTGCCGCGGCGGGCGGGTCGGCTGCGGCGTGCGTGACGGGCCGGTATGCCTTGGCCTGTAGGCGAGGGGGTGCAGCTGTGGTGGGAGGACGCATGGTGGGAGGCGACGCTGCTCGAGGAGCTTGCCCTGCAGGGCGACAGGGAGGGGCAGGGCGAGCGGGCCGAGCCGCCGGCGCGGGCAAGGGTGCGGTTGCGCGGCGCGGCTGCGCTGGTGGGTGCGCCGCAGAGCGTGGTGTGCGGCCAGCTGCGGCCCGCGTGGGAGTGGAGGCTGGTCGAGGGGGCGCAGGGCTACGGCGAGTGGGTGGCGCCGTGCATCGCACCCGTGGGCGTGGTGGCGGCCGGCGAGCCCGACGGCGGCATCCCGCCGCCCTGAGCTCTTTCGAGCTGGAGCTCTTGCGGCCGCACGGGGCCCCGAGCTCGCTCCCCATGCCCATCCGCCATCGCGTCGCGTACCGGAAAGGAAATCGCTTTATCGTCGAGAGCTCTTGTTATTTTCGAGAGGACGACGCGACCCCACGCCGCACAAGTCCCAACGTCCCACCGCACACACACAAGACACAATGTGTCGACTGTCCGGTGTCAGCGCGGGACAACGGTCCGAAGTCGTCGCTCTCTTGTCTCTAGAGCGAGTCTCTTACTAGAAGATTCTGCGCCACATCACACGTCTTCTTACGCGTGTGTCACGCGACGACGGGGCTCTCCGCCATGACGGCTAGCTCTCGCTCCATCTCTTCGATCAAGTCATCCTTGCTCAGCCGCAGGTCTACCGCCTTTTGCCAGACATCCTCCTCTCTTGCCGTAGTGGCGAGCTCTCGCTTAGTCGCCGTGATGAAATCCTGGCGTGTCGGCTCGTTTGGCGCTGGCCAGGCGTTCTCCCTCAAAGGTCGGGCCTTACGCTTTGCTGGCGAAGGCGAACACAGCGAGGAATAGAAGGCGAGAGCCTCGTCAGCTTCCAGCTCCAGCGGCGGTGTGCCCAAAGAATGCATGACCGATTCTGGCCATGCGAACTGTGTCGCCTGTGGCGCGGCGAGAAACCACCTCGCCAGTTCTGGTGTCATGAGGCAGCGTGATTGCAGGTTGGCCACAATGTGGGACAGCGCCTTGGCGTCGAACGCCTTGCTGTTCACAAAATGTTGTTCGGCTCGACATAAGACCTGTTCGGCTCGACATAAGGCCTGGTCGATCTCGTGCACTCTCGCTGGATTGGCTGCCATGCAAAACGCACGACGCGTCAGGATCCTAGAAGCCGTCGCCGACAGTCAAACACGAGCAGCGACCGACCAAGGTCCAAGCGCTAGCGACCAGGTTCGTTGTGAAGAGCTGGGGCGCGCCACCCAAGAGCCTAGGTAGGTGCGGATCGGCAAGAGCGCAATCGATCTTTTTGCCCTCTATCACCTTGGGTTGTAAGAACTTGAAACACACCACGCAGGGGCACAGCAAGCACGGATAGCCGTTGAGGAGAAAGGGCGTAAGGTGTATGCGCAGCCACGGCCGTGCCGCGGTGGGCGCGCCACCTCCCGCGAGCGCGGCGGGATCGGAATTGCGGCCGGAGGGAAGGGCGAGCCGCCGCCGCCGCCGCCATATACCATCAGCGACGACGACCGCGGCTCGCCCCAAACGCCAGGCGCTGGATCGGCAGTAGGGCTTGGGCGGCGCAGCGTAGGCCTCGAGCCACACGAGTCGCCGACAACCCCCCCTCATCGACGTGATGGCCGCACCCGCTGCCGGCCGATGCAAGCTGCCGCCTCCACCGCACCAGCGATACTGGCCGCGGCTCGCCGCCACGCGCCGGCTCGGAAGAGGGGCTATCGGCGGCGCAGCAGAGCGGCATGCGTCGTCATTCGAGCAGCACCAGGTCCCCTCTTCGACGTGACGGCCGCTCCCGGAGTCGGCCGGTGCGCGCCCGACCCACGCCCCCTCTCGCACCCCCCCGATCCCCCTGCGCGGCGCCCCCTCCACTGCGCGCCGGCTCGAGCGCCTATTGCCAAATCGCGACTTTCGAGCGCAGTGCGTGCGCCCCACACGTCACGCGAGCGCAGGAGAGTTTGCGGCAGAGCAGTACCGTGTACTAGCCGGAGGCATCGCGCCGAAAACCCCGCGCATTCCGCCCCAACAGAGGCTGCAGGAGGCAGATGGCCAATAGCGACCATCGTTACGAAATGTAGCGTTACCGGGAGGTCTCCAAGCTGTCTTGGGTGGTAAGAATTTGCTGCCTCATTGCGAATCATCTTCGCCGGCCTGCCCTCGCTCGCGCCTTTCTTTTCTATTTTGAAGACACACAGCCCCGGCGCAGGTCGCTCTGAACCACTGACTTGCTTCCGTTCGTCCACACTTAGTGTGCCACACACCCTCAAACACAAACTTACCAAACAACCACAAGACCGGCCACGGCTACGTCAAGGCGCATCGCGGTTTCTACCACGACGCGATCTTTGTCAAGCGCAACAACTTCAACCTGCTGCTCCACGAGACGTTCGGCGGCGGCTTCTCGCCCACCGCCGTTCAAAACAAATTCTCAAGCTGCGCCGCCTCGCGCGCAAAGTCGCGCGCGGCAGTCGCGCGCGGCAGCGTTGACCGCACGGCCTACTCGCCCAAGTACTCGCTCTCTTTTATGTCCCACCATGCAGAGCGCATCTCTCCCTCTGTTTTGTGCGAGGCGTGAACCGCGCCATTCGCTCTCACCTGTGGCAACCTGTCTGCACGTCTCGCGCGCGCGTGAACAGGGCTCCAGGCCCCAAATTACGTGTGAGTGTTAGAGTTGTTTGGTATTAAAAATCTCTCTCTCACACCCTCGTTTTCGTCCTTGGAGAGAGAATTGTATAAGAGAAAGTTGTTGTTGATTCCTCCACGAGACTCAAAGAGGTTTATGTGCAAGAGTCAATTTGGAGGTAGGCAGCGCCACTCACTTAGATTCCAGGATGCACTCATCTGAGAGAAAGACATCTCTCACCCCCGTCTCTCTTCTCATCTGTCCCTGCCTGGGATTCATACATGATTCACACGCGCGCGCGGTGCAGCGAAGTCCAAAGAGCTGGCGCGTGTGAGTTTGGCCGCTCGCGGGCTATATAGCGAGGAGAAGGGTGTGCGGTTCGCTCCTCAGCGCGCGTACCTCTCGAGGTGGAAGTGGCCCTCGAGCCAGAAGGCGCCGAGGGCGAAGGTGGCGAGCGCGACAACGCCAAAGAGCGTGCGGCACACCTCTCGGCCGAGCAGCCTCTCCTCGCTGACGATGCCGAGCAGGGACACCTCGAGTGTGAGCCGCGCGTCGGGCGGCACGCCGGCCGCGCCCTCGTGCCCCGCGGCAAAATCGCTGTGGCAAGAGATGAGGGCGCGCTCGCCCACCC